GCAAACAAAAAAATACGCGTTTATTTTGTCACCTAAATCACCGTCGCCTTCAATAAATAAAGTTATAAATAATACAACACCAATTCGTTTCGACAGCAATCGATACTCTCTCTTCTATGATCAATACTAGTTCCTTCTACAACCAATGACGATTCTTCTTTATTATTTGACCATGATTTATCAAAGACTATTATGTACTCGATGACATGGATGATACCGGAGATATTAGCAATGGAACTTATTCAACGAATTTTCAATCACGGTATCCATATGATGTGACGAACGTGACCATATGGTATGACGAACATATTTCCTAACGTGGAATTATTCCCTAAATTGACGTCTTATCGTTATTGGACGAATTTCAAATTTAATTACATACAGTCAGCCCAATTTAATGATACTGTATACATGTATCTGTATATTGGTAGATCGTGATTTTATATATAGGAATTCATTTAAAAGAATTATTAGATTTATTCCTTATAATGTAATTTAGACACCCTCGATTATTGAATTCTGATCACTCGCAAATAATATTTAAAATATGCGAAAGTTGTTAATTTGTTCTGTTATTCTGTCTTTTTTTTGTTTTCGTTTGATTTGTTCTTTCGTCTTTAGCTGCCATATTTATTTAATAAAAATGTTAATTACGACTTCACCTACCGCTACCTTCTATATTTGAAATCATATAACTATTTTTGATAATTTTTCTCGTGAATTGCCAACTAAATGGTCCATAACTGATATTTTCATGGCGAGTTTTCTTTTCCCTCAATGTGAAAGTCGAGTCATTGCACTATGAGAATGAATAATGAATTTTTAAGAATGAATCATGTAAAATATTCTTTGAATATATGCGCCCAGCTTAGTCACATTAAATACTTTGAATTGCAAAGGGTTTTTTATATGAACTTTAAATGTAAAAAAAAAATACATCATTTAATAGTCTTTGATAAGTACTAGTACTATCAAGTAATGTATTTTATCTTAAAGTTTATATATTTTTTATTGAGAAGATACAATTTTAAATAACGCATTTTTTAAAAATTTCAGCCATTAATATAAAAAATAATCACACTTGTAAATCTGATAAATGTTTCAGCGCCTTTAATGTGACTAAGCCGGGTGCACCATATTATTTTCCAAAAGATTTAATTAAGTAAGTATTCCTAGTACTGTACAATACATTATTAAACACAAAAAAGTACAGATCACGATGGTATTTATTCAAACAACTAATGAAAATATTGCCATTATTGCATTATTCAAATTATATTTCCATATACAGTACATGTTATCTATAGCCTTGTATTTGAGTGTGATATTTTAAAATATCAAATGAGCAAACTAAATAATGAAAGAATGAACATATAGAGCGAGCAGAACGAATAAAAGGATAAAAGAACAGAGAGCATAAAAAGCTTAGATTTGATAACCTATGGTATGATAATTTGTTTAATGTTTAAGAGTTGAATAAGTAAGGAATAGTGTTCGAATTATGTTGAGTAAATATAATCAAATGTACTTATCAATTGTTGGTCTCAATCTATATTAAGATATTCACGAGAAAGTGTTTCAATGATATTGTAGAAACCATGCGAAAAGTATGTTCTTGGTGTTGAATTAGCAATTAAAAGGAGAAACTGCATGCTTTAAAGTTTGATAATTTAATCGGGAAGTAATTCAAAATGTAATAAATTTAATCCACAAATATGAGGGTAAATTTTGAATTTACGTATTGTCGATTAATTTTGATCGCTCAAATAATTATCGTATATGAATTAAGTACATGTATTATGTGGAAAAACAAACGAGCAAATTTTACCCAAATGAATAATTTATAAGAACTCTTTACTCACAACTTTTAGAAACTGAAACATCTGCAGACCCCTCACAGCAATCTGAGACATTCACAGACATGTCACAGCTGACCTATGAAGAAACATTTGCAAAATATCTGCTTTTAGTTAAAGGCAAGTTAGAATCGATTATAACAAAGCTTCAGCAGGAGAATTTAAGTGGCAAGGACTTAGTAAGACGACTGGAGAACGTCTTAAAGTACCTTGCGATATATTAAATAAAATATCTCAGAGAATTGGGAATTTTATTGAAAAATTAAAAGCACAATCTACTGCTTCTGCAAAAGGTAATGTAATATTTGTTTCTTTATTTACTATGCTTGTCTCAATTTTATTTTCCTTTGCTATGGTGCAGGAACTCTTAAATCAACAATATGTTTTATGTTAAAAATTCTTACCTAAGAAATAAATCAAAAATTTGACCTTTTCTATGATATTATCAGTTAAATTTTGTATTTACTTCCCAGGTAAGAAGTTGATAGAATTTTTAACATGAAACATATTGTCGATTTAAGAGTTCCTGCACCATATATGTTTTAATAATCTCTCATATATTCTACAGAGGATAAGCTTTCAGTGAAGAAGATCCGCATGGAGAAAAATGGTAAGAATTTGTGGAACTGCTAGCAAAGCAATTAAAATAATATTCTAGATGAGTTGATTATTGTATTTAGAGCCTCACTTACCATGCGTGCCAAAGAAACAAAAAATCGGGCGTTGTATGTGCACCGTTTTCTTCTTTTGTGTTTTTAAGAACATTAGGTGAAAAGCTGATTTACTTGAAAATGATTATGATCTTGTCTCTCATGCTACGAATGAGGCGGTTTGGAAAAACAAGCAATCTCACTATACTGAAGAATTTCCTTGTCCGACTGACTATGAAGAACATCAAAAGGAGCTCTTTAAGGTCAACAAAATTTTGATAGAAAAACTGGAGCTGTTTTTGCAAATACACAGTCGTCTATCTCTCATTCAAGGTAAAATGCTCTTACATTTACCATTTATCTGCTACAGAACTGCTTTGGAAACTGTGAAAAATAAGAATATAAAGAACAGAGTATGCTTGCTAATCTGTACATTGAGCATGGCTACATTATTAAAAAAATTTCTAATCAGAAAAAGGATGCATTGAACTTATTTATAGTGAACTGAATTATGAACGAATAGAGAACACACCTTTTGAAGGTCAATATTTCTCTTAACATTATCGTTAACAGGTGATAAATGATACGTCTCTAATTTCAAAACATCTACAAATTTGGTTCATTTTTCAACAAGCATACGTATAATGTACTTCATTTCGGAATTCACATGCGTTGTTTCAGAATTCCAAAAATGGCGTACGTTGTTTCAGAATTTAAAATTGACGTGCATCATTTTAAATTCAAACTGACAGCTATTATATATGTTATTTTAGAATTCACGTCAATTCTGAATTAACATATGTATTTTCGAATTCAAAATTGACATGCATCATTTTGAAATTCCAAAATGACGTACATCAATCTGTGGATTCCTAAAATGCGAAATAACGAAATGGATATTCAGGGTAGTGTTCTCGTTAATTCAAGAATTGTTAGAATTAATGAATTAACAAAGTACCATAACAGTGAAAAAACAAAGATTGAATGATTTATGATTAATGGGGTTCACTAAGGTCTCCTGTGGTAGTTTCTATGCAAATTAACTTAATATCAAAGATAAAAATAGTGCAAGTGGGAAAGTTAAAGATAAAAGATAAATTAAACTAAAGACAACTAAAACTAATAATAAAATAACAGGACTTATTGAGGATGTCTAATGAATTAAAATAACAATTGAACTTATTGAGAATGCCAATAAAGAAAATAAAACAAAATAACTAAAAAAATAAGCAAGACTTATTGATATGATCTAAAAAGAATAAAATTAAAATAAACAAAAATAATAATGTCAACAACTTATTTAGAGTAAAGGAGCATTCACTACTTGGAGTCAAGATTTGAAAATAATCACAAAAATAATAGTGTATTCATAAATATAATATTACAAGTAAGAATTTTGTTATTTTATCAGATCAGAGCATGAGAGTTTCTAGCAATAAAAGATATATTTTTAACAATTTCTTTGATTTACATAATTAATAATCATTTTAAACTATATCACTATTTACAGACAATACTAAACAATATTAAAGGAAAACAAAGACTGAAAAATAAATAAGAAATTACACAAAATAATAGAAAACAAGAAAACAAAATACAAGAAAAAATTAATATAAATATTAATGATTAAAAATAAAAAATCATAAGATCACAACAAAGAGAAAGATTCTAAAGAAAAATTGAATAACATGAGATAAATCATAAAAGAAGATAATATTAAAAGATAAAGATAAAAATAGTAATTAAAATAGTAATTAAAATAGTGATTAAAATAGTAATTAAAATAGTAATTAAAATAAAAATCAATATGAATATAATTGGTTTAAGATAATAAAATTCAAATTAAGAATTTTTTGTTGGAATAAAATATAAGATGTACCAATAGCAAAAAGATTAATTTGAGAAAATAAAAAAATACAAAAGAAAATAAAGGTTAAAGTTGCAAAAATATAATTTGTTAATAATTATTTTGATTATTAGTCAAAAAGAAAGTGATATTCACAAATTTTATATTAAATGTGATTGTGTAATATCAAATAAATATTAAATTTGGTTGTGTAATGTCAAATAAAATATTAAATTAATATGAATATTATTGGATGAAATTATGATACATCATAATCTGTGATATCATAAAAATTATGGAATTATGAAATTTTTGTTGAGAATGGTAACAGTAAAACAAGCCATCAAACCGGCATTAAAATCTGACACGCGAAAAAAACGAAATCCAGCTTGGGGCACTAATTAAAAATGTAGGGAGATTTTACATAATATTAGTCTGACCCTAACCCAGCATTGGACTAAATGACCTTATTAAAATTTAGTGACCAGTGATCAAAAGTCACTTGTCAAATAGCTTGTATCACTGAATATCGTAGAATAGGGTAAGGGTCAGACAGGACTAAGATTAAATGTAAAATCACCTTCCCAATGCTTTTAATTAATGCCCCCAAACTAGATTTTTCCTGTATTTAGTTTTTTTCGCGTGTCGGATTTGAATACCGGAATATCCATTTCGGGCTCATAAATAACGACCTCTTTAATTAATAAATTACTAACGCTGACATTGGATCTCTGAACAAAGATACATCATTTCAGAATTCCAAAATGACGTACGTCAATTTTGAATTCCGAAACGACGTACGTCATTTTGAATTCTGAAACGATAATACTGTGAGAAAATCGAGCAAAATAGTGAAAAAGAAGGAGTTAACAGTATTTATGATTACCTTAATAATAACTTTGTCAATCCTAGTAGTTTGGTTCAAGAAAATTTTACTGCCGGACAAGTTGAGAAACTTGGCGAAATTATTGGTAAGTTTAACCATTGAAAAGAAAAGTTAAGCGCTAAATACTCCTTACTTGATTTTTTTTTAGGAACTTTGGATGATTTTAACTCATCTATTTAAATACGCACTGTATATATTGAAAATCATCTTTATTTAAGGCAATTCGTGTATTTGATCACTTTCATTCTATGAAAATTTTACAGGAGAGGAAATTATCAATCTTGCGGCAATTGAATATTATAATTTTGGTTATCAACTTCCAAATTTGCAAATCAATACCACATTTTTCCGGGTCTCTGGTGGTGCTGTGTTTCGTCACATATGTGCGAACCATCTTATGATTGGCTATATATAGTTCCTGTTTCGTTCTGGTTTGTTTATCACTGGTTAGTTTATTATAATTGTTATATTGACTATTAAATTAATCAATTACTATCGCTATGTAAGTAAAGTATATGTAGTACAATAAAATAATAAACGAGTTTTCATGTTTCTAATTATTGTAACTGTATCACAATGAAGATGTTAACGTTGAATATTTGTAGAAGAGTTGCAAACATGTGTACAATATACGTACATGTATATTCTGAATGCCATTATCTTATTCTACGTATAAAATGGTGGATATTTGCGGGGTACATGTACATGTATTATGTTTGCAACAAGTTTATCGTTATTTTATTTCTACAATTTTAGTTAGTCGGTTTATTTGCTATCCTGGAGAACAGAAAACTAGTTTTGGTTATGAACCTAAACTACCTTATAGCTTTGGGACCCATCTTTAATCACGCCATTTATATAAATAAAGAATAAAAACAACAAAAAAAGATACGATCGTGCATGTTTTAAGGGGAGGATTTTTCAGTTGTGGATTTAACGATCAGGAAATCAGTGAATTTTAAATTAAAATTTATCAATAATAATGATAACAATAACGGTGTACGTACTGTTTCATCACCGCGTGGTACAGTATTAAATACAAAAAAAAAATACAGAACTGATTTCAAGAACACTCACATATTACCTTCAGAATATGCACAATTTCTTACCGTATTGCCTCCAGAATATGCACAATTTCTTGTCATTCTGTATTTATCACGAAATGGTTAAACCATACTGATCAATAAATGCAATTCTTGAAGTCCAAACAGCTAATGAAATATTACTATGCGACTACCAATTTGAAGCAGCAATTTTTATTAATTTATAGAATATCTTGGTTGAAATTTATGATTGGAAAAATTTATGTTAAATGATTTATCAACTTTTTGATGATTTTCAATTCTTTGCATTATCCAACTCATGTTTTCTATATAAATTTTGTATTTGAGTGTGGCATTTTGTAATATGAGAGTAAGCAATTTAGATTTATTTGAAAAAATATACATTTAATCAAAAATACACGGCTAAAGAATGAAAAACCGAAAAAAAATACTAAATAACGAACGAACGAACGAACGAACGAACAGACAGACAGACAGACAGAGCGAGCAAAACGAATAAAAGATAATAAAAATCGTACAAATCCTAGAAATATATTTCTTTCGATTCATCTATACTATATTATCGAATAAATTAGAAAATGTCTTTTGGAAAAGGAATTCGAATCATGTGAATCAAATAAACTGAAATCTGAAATATTAAAATTTCATAAATCATTGAAATATGCTAATGTTTAAATACGTAGAGATACGGAAAATTAAGAAGAGAATTCGTAAAATGAAGTATCACCAAAATTAATGTTGGATAAATTTCCAACACGAAAAGCAGAATCGTAATCAAAATATCCATGAGGAATTGTTTCTGTTAATAAAGGTACATTAGTCGATGATGCTGTAGAGACCATAGTTGCATTTGCGTCGAAGATAAGTGTTGAAGAAGGTTATCATCATTGATCATATTATAGTTTGCATCAAATAAATAATCAGTATGTGAATTATTATCGTTGCGATTATCTTCGTTAATAATTTGATGTAAAGTAGTGACTGAAGAACGGTTCTCAGTGCTATGTGAACTGACACTTGTCGGGTATTTTTTTTGTTCCCGAAAAATAAATTTTTTGTATCTTAAATCCTTTGCATTTTTTGGCTTATACTTATAATTGGGATATATATGCTTATGATTCTCGTAAGCTATTTTCTCCAATGTTTTGAAAAAATGCTTGACTTCTCTTGGCTGCGATTTCCATTTTAAACTGCATTCCTTTGCGGTATGTTTAACTTTTTGCTTGACATCAGGATTACGTAGACGCAAGTGAGCTTCATAGTCTTTTCGAAAAATGATCCAACTGTTTTGCGGCCGTGGTGGATTATCAAAATCATTGCGTTTTTTCTTGGCAGGATTGGTTAATTCTTCAATTGTGAGAGTTAAATCATAAGGAGGTTCATTTAGGAGAGTATTTTCATTTTCTGTTAAATATTCGTTATTGTTCATTTTTATTTTGTTTTCTCTTGTTTAAAAGAAAGAAAGATTGATATTGCAGACTTTTATTTATACAAAAATTAAATTTTCGATTTTCAAATATATTTCCTGACAAATTTAATTTACTCTTGGATATAATAAAAATTATACTGCGCGTTTTTTATTTATCATCAAGTTTCGCGCCAACTTTATATTTACGCATTTTGATTTATTGCCGAGTATGTCTGTATGTATGCGTGTATATCGATATGCACACACACACAGAATTACTCTTATTTGCCGCCAAATTTTATGTTTACTTTTGTGTGACAAAAGTTTGGAAATCATTTTTAGTTAGCGTTAGCAAAAGTTTCAGTTTTCGTTTTTTGACACACCAGAGGTTCCGTTTTGATAGAACTGCAAGTATCCTCCGTTTTTGATACATATCATGCTAAAGTCACTTCTTTTCTAATACTCGGAATTTCCATGGCGGCTATATTTCTTCCTTATGTATTGCTTCCTTGCAACCATCTGTCTACATTATTCTTTTGTTTGTCAATTAATATTTCATATCTTGCAATTTGATTGGTCAATGCAACCTATTCAACCGAGGTGGCAAATTATGAGATCGATGAAAATTTGTTACCCGACAAATTTTGATAAATGTAGCATTTTGAAGAAAACAAAACTAAAATTTGGCGGGAAATATAGCGATCACAATGCATTCTATTACTGTTTACATTTTGTATTTACTTTTGGAAAAGACAAACTTGTTCAAACAAGTTTTTGTTTCACAATTAGTTATAGGTATCGGTATTATTCATGATTTCTTTGATAATGATTTTTATATACCACCATCATCATTCTTACTTTGTTATAATCATTGTTTTTATAGAAACTTACGACCCTAAGGTTTCAACTTTAAAGCAGCGATAATCAGCATGCTTTTTTTTACGATTTCAAATTTAACTTTTTCCCTTGGAATAAAATTTCCTTTTTTACTCTCCTAAGATAATACATGAATTGTGAATACGATTGGAAAAAGACCACTTGCTTCCGATTAAATGAAAGATAAACGGCTCAAAACAATTGCTTGGAGAGTCGCAGGAGAAAGGTAATTAATTATATGCTTATAGTCTTCGTTTATTATGATCTGAGAAAAGAAGTATAAGAGCTTCAATGATCCGCTTGTTGATTGAACTATAGAAATTAAAATCATATTGTTTTTTGGTAGACCCGATACGATGACACGTCGGTTCATATATAATCAAATTCCTAAAAGCAATAGTCAAAGTGTGAATTCTGGTACTACACAGAATAGTTCAAATATAAGTTAAAAGGGGAGCTACTATCAAAAAATCAAATACATACTGACAACATTTGGAGGAATCGCATGTTATTATGCTGAAATTTATATAAACTTGTTGATACGAACACAAACCGGGAAAAAGCTCTCTTTCCGCCTTCTTGATTAATAAATTTTAAAGTATATTATACAAGTCGAAAGATACAAGTTATTGCCTTGCTCTTTGTTTGACTATCGACGAATAATTAAATCCAGAAAAAATTACTCTTGTTAGAACACCAATATTGCAGCAAGATATCATTCACACAAACTTAGTTCGATGCAGCCAATAAATAAAAAAATATAATTATTGCTTTAAAAAATTGTTCAAGTTGTTTGACAGTTTCAATTTGCATTTATCCCAAGACAAATACATATTTATCATATTTATTCAATGTAATCAAAAAAATGTCATTTTTTTCATAAGGAGCTGGACAATATCGTCCAGTTCTCCAAAAAAGTATTTCACATTCGTCTTCAAATAATAATGATATCCAATAACAAACAGAAAATCCGAAACAAACATTTTTTTCTCGTGGTCTGCGTTGCAACGTTCATATGTCATAATAAAATCGAAGTCATATGAGGTTATTGGAACACCATGTGTTGGATACTAGAGCTAATCTGATTGGGTTTATAGTAATTTTTCTATCATATACCCAATGCTGGACATCTTTCGTTTTGGGAATTTCTAAAGAATTCTGTGTCAGCATGCAATGGAATGGTCATTCACACATAACTACGTAACAATTGTTTCATAACAAGTTGACTTGTTGCCTATAATGTATTCGCTATTTATATTGTGATTAGTTACTCTATCTAATAAAATATTGAAAAAATGAACAAACATATATATTAAGAGAAAATGATATTGAATTACATTGTTGAAATTCGTGTGTAGACGTTTTTAAGCGTATTTTAATTTTAATTTTTCTGATTGATTTCCTCAAAAGTAACGAATGACGTGATAAAACGACGAAGTTTTTCTTAATTTTAACGAAACAAAAGAAAACCATTTCCTCAATTTGCTTTGCATAAAGTTAACTGTACTGCTTAAAATACCTAATTCCATCGTCGGTGCTAATTACGACTATTCACACGAATTGCAATTACTCTTACCAATTAACTCTTTATTGAAGAATTAACTAAACCAGCTGTAAGAGAAAGTGATAATTCTGATAAACTATCACGACCACAAAACAGCTGGATAATTTTTGAAGCGTATTTACGTTTATGTAATCAACACGTCAAACAAAAGTCAATGAAACAGTACATTAAACTTTCCGATAATTAAATGGGAATTTGGAAATTGTAACGGTAATGAGCAAAAAACTTTGATTATCTTATTTTTTATCCCCCACCATAAAAAGACCATCATTGTTTTTTTAATATCGCGAATCATTAAAATCAATTATTGAAATTCTCTCGCGTTAAAGTAGCATCATCTGATAAAATTTTCTATTCAATTGTGTGCACAACGTGATTATTAAAATTAGTCATATATCACATATTAATTATGTATTCGCGATAGGAGCAATGAGTTCATCACCGGCAACTTCTTGTGCATGTCTATTGAGACCTTATTTTTCTGTTGGTCAGAGCGAGGTTTTGAGGGTATACAAAAAATTCATAGAAAATTTTATATCTCGTATTATATACCCAGCATCTATTGTAACTTATATTGAATAGTCAAATTTTACTCAAAATAAAGTTTTAATAATAAATAATCTATTTTTATTGGTCTATATACTTATAAAATGCTGCTTCAATTTTTTGAGCGATTACAATCGTTTTAAATTGTAGTTGATGTAGAATTGCGAATATGTTAATTTTCGAATTGAAATGACTTTAAGATCTAGGCATAACGCAAGAATAATAATATTGGAATCTCGTATTTGTCTATTATGCATGATTCTAAATTATAAATAAGACTGAGAAATCGACACATTTCCCTGAGTTGAAAAAGGTGATAGGGAGAAAAAACATCAGTAAAATTTAATAAATAAGTATAGGCAGCTAAAGAACTAAAAGTACAAAGAACAAACTAAATGAAAAAAGACACAACGGACTAATAAATTAAACGAAAGAATAGGCGGAACAGACACAACGAATTAATAAACTAAACGAAAGAACAGACAGAACAAATGTTAAATTAAACGGAAGAATAAGCGAACAAATAAGCTAATGAAGAAATGAATCATATCTTATTTGCGAGGAACGAAGAGAATCTATATTGAATTATTATGCTTAATATTATATATAGTGAGTTCTTGTAATTCCTTATAATATACGTAAATCATACCATTATTATTATTAACGTTAATATTCAAAGAGGACGACATAACGATTTGTGCTGCTTCTTGTGGAGGTGAATTATTACTCGTTGAACTAGGATTATGTGACGATGTAAGTGCGTATCTCTTTAGTTCGCGGAAAACCCATTTCTTAGCGCTTGAATCCTTTGTATTTTTTGGCTTATACCTATGACTAGGGTATAAGCTTTTATGATTTTCACAAACTATTTTTTCTAATATGCTTGATTTTGCTTGATACCTCTCGCCACTTTAAACTGCATTCTTTTGCTGTTTTTTTTTTTTTTACTTTTGTTTGACGTGTTGATTATATAAACGTAAATGCGCTTCATAATCTCACCGAAAAATTATCCAGCTGTTCTGTGGTCGTGGCGGTTTAGCAGAATTACCACGTTTTCTTGCTGGCTTAGTTAATTCTTCAATGGAAAGAGTTAATTAGTAAGAGTATTTGCTTAAAATTAGCAACTCATTATCGTGTAAATAGTCGTAATTAGCACCAACGACGAAATTAGGCATTGCTTTCTTTTGTTAAGAATTTATTTCTTTAAAATTAGGACGGTAAAAGACAAAGTTGATATCGTAAAAAAAAGAAAAAAATCAATACGTAGTAAGAATGATCTTTTTAGGGTTGGGAATAATCTAACTGCTAAACAAAAGCAAGTTTTTTGCTCATAGGAATTTGTTGGATATTTATCTTTTTTAAATTATTAACGTACCAATTATATCCAGGATCGACTCGCCTCAAGAACAATAAAGTGTTCATATACATATATAGGGTAGTGTAAACAATGCATTTTGGTATCCAATAGGCATTGAAATTTTGCTAAATAAAAAAACCAACAATAAAACATTCTAAAGTTCTGGGAAAGAAAACACGAAGATTGAGTATATTGAAACTAGACGATGTTGCACCAATGTATTATTTTTTATTTCTTACTAACAATAACTTTTTTAGTTAATGCATATTATAATTTCTTGTGTATTTGTATATTTATTTTATGGTGACATTTAATTAAGAAGTGCATTTTCATTGTTAATTACTAATGTTAGAATGCAATGTGGATGAATTTGTTTTGAAGTTGCCTAACTTAATCGATTCTTCGAATCGTCTTCTTTAAAAGGGCTTCTGTTGGTTCTGCGTGCCTAAATGACAAAAGCTGTGTTGTTGATATGAATTGCTAAAATACCTTTAATTTTTCATCTAGCATTTTTGAAGCAGAAAACCTGCATGAACCATTTACGTACTGAATCGTATCACAACATTTGTGGCTGATGCATTAACCTTCATTTTAATAATGATTAATTACCTAGCACAAGAACTTGAATTTGGCGGGAAATAAGCCAATGTATATCGATATTCTATTCTTATTACAAAAGATATAATAAGACAATTGTTTCACAAACTTAAATTTGGCGGGAATATAATCGGTGATAAATTACAATGCATATTCTTATTACATAAGATACAATAATATATTTTTATCTTGTTTTTTTTGAAAACGATAAAATTCCTGTGAGCCAAAAACTTGCTCTAACTAGTTTTTTGTTTTGCAGTTAGGTTATTCATTATTTATTATCATTATTATTAAAACAGTCCATCATTTTTACTCATTATAAGCTTTTATAGAAACTTTCTTACGAACACAATCTTATTTTCTTTTTTACAATATCAATTTTAACTTTGTTCTCTCTTTGAATTTGGAATACAATTTCTTTTTCTACTCGACAGATAATACACGAATTATGAATACAATCGGAAAAAGACTTGCTTCCGGTCAAAATGAATCGGCTCCGAAAGATAAACGGCTCAAAACTATTGCTTGTGATAGATGTTGCAGGATAAAGGTGAATTTTGACACATTGATACGTTTTATGACGATTTAAAATTAATTAAGGAGGTGCTTACAAGGTCTTCATCGTCTTTTGAAAAATTTTACAATTTGTTTTTCGACAAAAAAATCCTTTTTATGAGAAAAGTAGTCTAAGAGCTTCAATGAACCGCTTATTGATTCAAGATTCTAAAAATTAAAATCATATTGTTTTTGGGTAGGTTCGATGTGATGGTGACGGTTACAATCAACCTCCATGTACTTATTGCACGTCGGTTCAGCTGGAGTGCACGTATAATCAAAGTTCTAGAAGCAAGAGTTCTGGTACACGCTTTGAAAAAAATATTCAAACCATATTCTTTCCTCCGTTTCCACCAAATATCACCGTAAATGAATTAATAAAACCTATGAATCGCAAACAAAAAAAGCCTGTTAAAGCGCCTAACGCATTTATGATTTACCGAATTAACTATTCTCACGAAATTCGGAATGATCGAAAGATATCTCAGCCAGAAATTTCTTCCATGTCGAGTCAAGCATGGAAGCAAGAATCTCCAAATGTCAAAAAAACATACTTCGATTTTGCCAAACAGGCCAAAGAGTTTTATTTGGCCCAAACTCACGTAATTGCTGATGACAACATCGGTAGCAGTCAATCACAAAGTATGTATGAAGATGTTCAAGCAACCGAAAACGACTCCTTGATCGATAAAAACGAAATTTTTGAAATCAACCCTCTTGTATTTGAGACCTTCGAAACGAAAGAAATTTCTTTTTCACATGTTGATATGCAGCGTCGTATTACCACCCTTGAGTATGAACTCGTTGCTAAGCAAAACGAAATAGATTCAATGAGACAAACTATATTCGAATTAAATGCAGAACTTATACAAAATACAACATTTTATATATAACATAAACTAGCGTTTTATATAAGTATATAACTCACTTGCTTTAATTTATTGTTTTCTAATCAAGTTTCTAGTTCGATTTTATTTCAGTGCGCATTTATTTTGTTAATTCAAATTGCAAAATTTTAAACATAAGAGACTTGGATAATGTATGATCTATATAAATTTATCCCTATTACAAAGTTCTAAAAGAATCAATCACCAAATTTTTAAACCCAGCCGATGGCGACGACATGTATTTGGAAATTAATTTAAATTGACCAATAAAAATGCTCGACGTTTCGATCGCCAGTGATCCGATTCAAAAAATAACGATAATATATCATTCGATTTGTCTAGTCAAGACGAATCGAATAGTTATATATTTGAATCGGATCACTGGAGATCGAGATATCACGTCCTAAATTGACTGATTCATTTTTGTTAATGTTAAAAAACAAATCTGCTACTTTAGGACGCAATATTTCGACGTCCAGTGATCCGATTTGAAAAAAATATTACCATTCGATTCACCTCGACTAGGCGAATTGAATGGTATATTTTTATTCAAATCGGATCACTGGATGTCAAGAGTTAGATTATTTAATATTGAGATGTGTGTTATGAAATAACTGATTATACATGTATTTGGGACGTGAAAGTATGATCAGCATTTGTAATGTTCTTTGTGCTCGGAAAATTTCAGAACATTACACATGATCTATGGAAAGTTATGAGGGGTCCGTTACTTCTGACGAGCACTGTATACAATGACGAAAATGGATAAACTTTTTTCCATTTCATTTGGGTTTGGAGCTACGTAAATCCAAAATCCTAAACTCAAACTACATATGTCGAGATGGGTCGCATCCCTACCAATAATTGATGAAATTGTGCAAATATTTGTATAATACCAAATATTCTACCAAAAGTTCATTAATAAAAATGGTTTTGCACATCAAACCAAAAACTTTCTTTATGGAAACTAGATGCCATCCATCCCATTACGTAGTCAAAATTCCGAAAATTTTCAAATTGGTCAGTTTCTACTTTTGATCGCCCATATCGATGTGATGCCGTTGATTCGGTTAACAGCAACTAAAGAAAAAAACTAACGATCAAAAGAATAAAAAACAGCAAACCAACTAATAGAATAACAGATAGATGGAATAAATTACCAAGCTAAAAGAAATTTCGCATAAATACAATAAAATCGAAAGATTATTTACATAATTACCCCTTTGTAACTTCAAAATTTTTATTTCAGATTTAGATTTTCTACTTTATACAACGCTTTACGGTAATCAGAATAAATTAATTTTAACAAATCATTATTTAGTGTTGAAAAAAGAGGTCGAATGTGTGGTGAAGATTATCTAATACGTCATATCATCAACAACGATAACTGTTAATATTGTTGGAGGTTTGTTGAATTAGGGATAAGTACCATTGCTAATATCTCCGGTATCATCTATATCATCGAATACATAATAGTCTTTGATAAATCATGGTCAAATAATAAAGAAGATTCGTATCGATTGCTGTCGAAACGAATTGGTATTGTATTATTTATAACTTTATTTATTGAAGGCGACGGTGATTTAGGTGACAAAATAAACGCGTATTTTTTTGTTTGC